TGTGTTGCCTAGGCTGGAGTGCATGGTGCAGTGGTGCGATTGTGGCTCACTACAGCCTCTGGTTTCTAGGCTCAAGCAATTCTCCTGCCTCAGCCTCCTGAGTAGCTGGGATTACAGGCATGTACCATCATGCCCAGCTAATTTTTGTATTTTTAGTAGAGACAGGGTTTCACCATGTTGGCCAGGATGGTCTCAATCACCTGACCTTGTGATCTGCCCTCCTTGGCCTCCCAAAGTGCTGATATTACAAGCATAAGCCACCGCGCCCAGGCTTTTTTTTTTTTTTTTTTTGAGATAGAATCTCGCTGTGTCTCCCAGGTTGGAGTGCAATGGTGCAATCTTGGCTCACTGCAACCTCCACCTCCTGGGTTGAAGTGATTCTTCTGCCTCTGCCTCCTGAGCAGCTGAGATTACAGGCATGCACAACCACGCCCAGCTAATTTTTGTATTTTTAGTAGAGACGGGGTTTCACCATGTTGGCCATGCTGGCCTTGATCTCCTAACCTCATGATCCGCCCACCTTGGCCTCCCAAAGTGCTGGAATTACAGGCGTGAGCCACTGAGCCCAGCCGGGATATTCATCTTTAATGCTAAGAAAGGCCACTGAGTGAAAGAGGGTTTAGCTTTATTCTGTGTGAAGGCAGAGGAGAGGTCTGGCACAACTGGTAGAAGTTGGGAGAAAGATATTGTTGGCTTAGTAAAAGGAAGAGTTATAGATCACTTTATTTTATTTTTTGAGATGGAGTCTCACTCTGTTGGAGTGTAGTGGTGCGATCTTGGCTCACTGCAACCTCCGTCTCCCAGGTTCAAAGGTTTCTCCTGCCTCAACCCCCTGGGTAGCTGGGATTACAGACACTTGCCATCATGCCCAGCTAATTTTTGTATTTTTAATAGAGACTGGTTTTCACCATGTTGGCCACACTGGTCCCAATCTCCTGACCTTGCCCAGCTCTATAGATTACTTTAAAAATGGAATGAGACTGGGCACAGTGGCTCACGTCTGTAATCCTAGCACTTTGGGAGGCTGAGGCGGGTGGATCACTTGAGGCCAGGAGTTTGAGACCAGCCTGGCCAACACAGTAAAACTCTGTCTCTACTAAAAATACAAAAATTAGCCGGGTGTGGTGGTGCGCACCTGAGTCAAGGGTCAAAAATGATTTCAGCTTGTCCTCCTTTAGTCTTGGCCCAGTATTGGGTGGGGGTTGAATTGTCCCTAGAGGTAGAAGGGTAGGACATCTCTGCCCTTGAGGTTAATTTGCAGTTGCCTCCATTATCCTAACCCCATACCCCTCCTATTCCTGGCCCTGAAGCGGGAGGTTGGGCTCCACTTCAATAGCAGTGTACTTGGCTGGGCTCTGGGGCCACTGGTCAGCTGTATCCGCTGGGGTGGGGACAAAAAGCCCTGTCAGCACTGCTGCTTGCCATACCTATTTCCTGCTCCCACAGCCAAGAGGCCCTGGAGGAAGCTGGGCTTTGAGGAAAAGGAGAGCTAGCTCTCTTCAGGCAGTTCCCTTTGCTCCCTGGTTTCTTTCTGTAGGATTCACTTTCTCATTTAAACTGAGCCCTCTGTGCTCAGTACAGAGAGCAGATCAGGGCTAAAAGGTGGGTCGGTAGCTGAGGAATGAGGCTCAGGAGTAGGGGAGGTGGGATACTGGTGGACAAAGATGGATAGAGAAGTGGAGAAGACGCTCATGCCTGTAATCCCAGCACTTTGGGAGGCTGAGGTAGGCAGATCACCTGAGGTCAGGAGTTCAAAACCAGCCTGTCCAACATGGCAAAACCCTGTCTCTACTAAAAATGCAAAAAAATTAGCCAGGTGTATAGCATGTGCCTATAATCCCAGCTACTTGGGTGGCTGAGGCAAGAGGATCCTTTGAACCTGGGAGGTGGAGGTTGCAGTGAGCCAAGATTGTGCCACTGTACTCCAGCCTGGGTGATAGAATAAGAATTTGTCTAAAAAAAAAAAAACCCTTGAAACAAAAAACAATAACAAAAAAGAGAAGTAGGGAAGCACTAGGTATTAAAATGTCAACAAGCCACTCAGGTGCCATGGCTCCTCTCTATAATCCCAGTTACTCCTCAGAAGGCTGAGATGGAAGGTTTCCTTGAGGCCAGGAGTTTGAGACCAGCCTGTGCTACATAGCAAGACCCTGTCTCTAGAAAAATTAAAACAGGTTAGGTGCAGTGGCTCACGCCTGTGATCCTAGCACTTTGGGAGGCTGAGGTGGGTGGGTCACCTGAGGTCAGGAGTTCATGACCAGCCTGGCCAACATGGTGGAACCTCATCTCTATTAAAAATACAAAATTTAGGCTGGGCACGGTAGCTCATGCCTATAATCCCAGCACTTTGGGAGGCCGAGGTGGGTGGATCATGAGGTCAAGAGATCGAAACCATCCTGGTCAACATGGTGAAACACGTCTCTACTAAAAATACAAAAATTAGCTGGGCATGGTGGCGTGCACCTGTAGTCCCAGCTACTTGGGAGGCTGAGGCAGGAGAATTGCTTGAACCCAGGAGGCGGAGGTTGTGGTGAGCCGAGATCACGCCATTGCACTCCAGCCTGGGTAACAAGAGCAAAACTCCATCTAAAAAAAAAAAAAAAAAAAAAAAAAATTAGCGGGGCTTGATGGCACATACCTGTAATCCCAGCTACTTGGGAGGCTGAGGCAGGAGAATTGCTTGAACCCAGGAGGCGGAGGTTGTGGTGAGCCGAGATCACGCCATTGCACTCCAGCCTGGGTAACAAGAGCAAAACTCCGTCTAAAAAAAAAAAAAAAAAAAAATTAGCGGGGCTTGATGGCACATACCTGTAATCCCAGCTACTTGGGAGGCTCAGGCTTGAACCCAGGAGGCGGAGGCTGCAGTGAGCTGAAACTCCATTGAAACGCCATTGCACTCCAGCCTGGGCAACAAGGGTAAAACTCTGTCTCAAAAAATAAAAATTAAAAAAATTAATAAAGTAAAATAAAATATAAACAAGCCATGTATTTCCAATTCAGAATCTGCTGTGGTAGCGGGTGGTAAATTGGTTGCGTATCCCTCCTTTTCCCTGCCTATATCCCTGGACAGAGCTGAGAAGAGAACCTTGTGGCACAAAGCTGCAGACTCTGACTCTGAACTAGAATTCAGAGTCCTGTAAGCTTTTTCCAGTTCAGTGTTGTGACCCATGGTTACTTTGCAGGGAATCATAAATTTGTATTTGGGGATCCTATTCCCCTGACAATGTGGCAGCATTGTTTGTGCCGGTGTTTCTAGTTGGAAACCTGGCTGATGTGGCTGTGAGCCAGCCACAGTGTCTAGGATACGGGCAGAGGTTACAGGCTGGGGAGAAGGGGTACTAGGTTATTGAGTGGCTGGAGTCCAGTGGGGGTGGGTAAAGGATAGGTGACTGGCTGAGGAGGATCATCAGATTTGAAAGATTTGTGGAGGGCAAGACACAGGCACTTTGGTCATTTTGTGGGGTGCTGCACACTTGGGTCTTTAATTATTAACTTAGTACTGGTGTGGCCTGGAGCTGTGGGTACATTTTTGCCCAGCCCTGTGATAAGATTTGTTGTTTATTGTCTTGTTTAGGAAGAAAGGCAAGCATTTGTATAGGACAGGAATGCCCCTTCTCAGGAAGAGCAGAAAGGAACTTGGGCAGTGAGTAGAATAAGGGTGGTGGTAGAAGGAAGGATGAGAGAGAGCAGATGGTACAGCTGTTCTGAGAGGCCAGTCTTTCCTGCTTTTCAGGATGAAGTAGCCAGAATGTGATGAGGCCAGGACACCACAAAACAGGACGAGGGACATCAGGGCCATACCACTGCCAGAACTCAGACAGAGAGCGTTTCTGACTGCGTTGGTGGTCTGAAGCAGGCAAGCCCTGTACTAAGCCTCTTTCTCTTGACTGGTAAGCAGGGCGATGTTGACCTTGCTCTTGGAGCCCTTGGAAAAAGGGCTTTAAAGTTAAGCCCTCCTTACCGTGTTCCAGTTGCTGAGCTGGGAAGGAGGGAGCAATGAAGTGATTCCCTGTGCTACCAGTGAGAGATCTGTGTTGTTTTTTCCAACTCTTTTCTCTGCCACATCCTGAGGATACTGGTCAACCTCACAGCATGTGTGAGCTTCCCTTTTTGAATTTCTTCAAGTAATTCAAATTCAAGTAGTAGATTGTAACTTTTTTGTTGGGGGAGGGATAATGGACTTCTTTGAGATTCCGATAAAAGCTATGATCCTTTTCTAAGAAAAGGTATGAACCTTTTTCTTAGGTATGTCTGTATTCATATGGACATAACATTTTGAAAAAGAATTTTGAGACTTTTGGAGGCCCTACTTAAGAACCCTGGTAGAAGGATTACCTGTGTTTCTGAGTAGAAGGACTAGGGGACTGTGTGTGGTTCTTACTTCTCTATTGTCCCATCAGGAAAAATGCCCTGTCCCCATTCTACAGGAACCAGTCTTAGCTGCAAGAATCTTTCCAAGCACAAAAGCAGGCAGTGAGCAGCCAGGCACTGGGCAGGAAATCTGGCCTTCATCCTAATCCTTGGCCACGCGTACTGACCTGCTGGCTCAGCGTTGGATAAGTCACAGCAGGACTCCTCAAGGTTAACAGTTATACCACAGAGTCAGACTGCTCTGTCCTGGAGCCCATGGGGAATGGGAGGTAGGAGGGAGAGACTGACTTTTCAGAGCCAAGAGCCGGAACAATCACTAATCCTGTTCAGCTCCCAGTTGCCTCCCACTGCTGTGATTGGAAATTTGGGTGTATTTTTATGTAAGCAGATCCGCAGTCACTTTGTTTTGTGTCTCCCATATAAGGTGCTGGGGGTAGGGAGTATGGAGGCCTTTGCATGATAATGGTGAGGACATTCTGGGGCTGGAGGGTTCCAGTGCACAGCAGGTCAGAGGGTCTGTCTTTGGCTGAAGAGTCTATCTTGGTGACTGGTACTGGAAAAATTGCTTGGGAGTCTAAGGGCCTATGGTGGTAAGGGTCAGTCACCAATCAGTATTATTTTTCTTTCAGGTCTCTTAACCTTCATTAACTGTGCCTATGTCAAGTGGGGAACCCGGGTACAAGATACTTCCACCTATGCTAAAGTATTGGCGCTGATTGCGGTCATCATTGCAGGCATTGTTAGACTTGGCCAGGGTAAGAAATAATATTAGTAGCAACTAATCTGTGTTAAGCATTTTCTGTGAGCCACACTCCTCTAAGTGCTCTTTGTGCATTATATCTTTCTTACAATAACCTTATTTGGTAGGCACTATTATTATTCACATTTTATAGATGAGGAAACAGGCTGCAGAATTAAGTATCTTGGGCCGGGTCCGGTGGCTCATGCCTGTAATCCCAGCACTTTGGGAGGCTGAGGCGGGTGGATCATGAGGTCAGCAGTTCAAGACCACCCTGGCCAAAATGGTGAAACCTGTCTGTACTAAAAATACAAAAATTAGTCAGGCCTCGTGGCAGGTGCCTATAATCCCAGTTACTCAGAGGCTGAGGCAGAAAATTGCTTGAACCTGGGAGGTGAAGGTTGCAGTGGGCTGAGATCGTGAGATCGTGTCATTGCACTCCAGCCTGGGCAACAGAGCGAGACTCCATCTCAAAA